GAAACTCAAGTGTTGTTGAAAAGGATTTATTATGAATAACACACCACCCATTTCCCTTAGGACTCTGAAGTGAGTTCAGGAAAAGGGACCACATATAGCGAAAGATGCTCTTCTTGCTATGACTGCCTCCAAAGAAAGATGCGGACGCTGGTAGAAAGTATATCCTGAGGGGCAGTGACTGTTTTTATGTCACTGTCACTTCTGGAGGGGGTGGGGATAGTTCATCCCAAATCACTTCTGGTGGCAGAAGGATGTAATCATGGGAGGTAGTAGGAAGACAGCCCTCACTCAAAGAGTAGGGTAGGACAGTGCTGGACAAGGGGAACTGTCAGCACAAGGCACAGGAGGACCTCGAGAATGGGACATGAGTGCCAGTGCGGAGAGAGGAGGTGGGCAGGGAGGGGAAGAAGGCAGACTGGCCTGTTACAGCGATTTCCCAGGAAATCAGCCGGCACTCAGAGAGGTGGAGAGAGAGATTTACTTGTCACACTGGCAAGCTCAGTGGGATCAGTTCCGAAAGACTGAGTGCCGAATTACAGGAATGGTGGGGTTTTATACAGGTTGTATGAGGAAACTTGTCATTCCATCCATCACAGTATGTACATTCTTTATTGTTTGGGAAGGGGTCAGGGCAGCCACAGCTACTGCTGTGGACAAGCAGCACACTGCAGGAACTGCTTCAGCAAGCAGCAGACTCCAAGCAACAGACTCCCCCAAGCAGCAGGCCTGGAAGTAGCAAATCTAAGCAGCAAGGTTGGGAAACTTCCTGTAGGGAACAGGGCCACAGGCCTTTTTGGTTCTCTCAATTTTCTTGTGATTTATATGTTTGTTTACATTTTACATCATTGTGCATTTTTTAAAGCATGCTTGTGCTTTTTTCAAAGTTGTCTTATGTAATCCAAGGAAAAACATATAAACCTTTTTTTTGAACATAATAACCTTTTATTTTTTAATTTTCCAATTGGAGATTTGTCCACATCAGGGCATAGGTGTCTTCATTCCTTCTCCCTCTGGCTTTCTTTTTTAACAACTGCATAATATTCCATCACAGGATTTATTTAACCCCACCAAGAATGTGTGAATAGTTGCCAGTCTTCTGCTACATCAAACAATGCTACAGGGAATAATCCAGTGCAACAGTCCTTTGGGAGTTCTGTGAGTTGCCCATGTAAGAGAAATGCCTAGAAATGAAATTTGATAGAGTATGTGTTTTTTAAAATTTTAATAGATTATAGTAAAATGCCTTCCATGTAGGCTGTGTGAATGTATATACCCACTGGCCATGTATGAGAGAATCCTGTTTCCTCATATCTTAGTCAACACATTGTATTATTAACTTTCAATTTTTGCTAATCTAAGTGAAGGTTACTTTTTTGATTAATTCTAATTTTTCTATCTTTTTATGTGTAAGGTAGTACATCTTTGCATATTTTTAGTCTTTGGCCTTTATTGACTGCTTAAGAACTTTTTACATCTCAGAAAATTAGTATTTTGTTTGATCTCAGTTGTGTTTTTCAAGTTTGTCATTAATTTTCTGACTGATTTTTGTGAGTGAGCTGTTAAATGCAATAAAATTTCCCTATATTTCTCCTGAGCTTTTGACTTGTTATTCCATAGTTAGCAAAGACTGTTGCTGTCCAAGATTATAAAGAAATCTTCCCATAATTTTCTTTAATACATCTATGGTTTAATATTTTACATTTAAATTCTGACACATTTATCCTGCCATAAAGTATGTGTGCTTCAAATTTGTGTCCCCCTTAATGACTACTTAATTACCTCAATAACTTATGTTAAGTAAACCATTTTCTGCCCACTGATTTAAAAGGCAACTGCTTTTAAAGACTACACAGAATCCGGGGCTTTATGCAGGAGAATGTATAATCAGTTTTGTTTTTATTTAATTGTGTCTTTAGTGGTTTTTTTTTTTTTTTGATCATTCCAAGTATATTCTATTTTATTCTGGAGGGTAAACCCTGAAAAATGAGATCGCTAACTTTCCATGTTAGTTGTGAAAATCCAGATTCATTCTTGTGAGGAAGCCTATGATAAAGTTAACCTTATTGCCTTATTTTACAGATGAGAAAACTAGACCAGAGAGAAATTAAGAACCTTGCCCAGAAGCCCCACCGTGTCACTCCGACCATTCCTGGTGTCTTACTAGTGAATGACGGAGTCCAAGTTAACTACTACTCCACAGGTCTACTTAAAAGAAACATTAACTAAAGCCCAAGGGATTATAACTGAGATGGAAAAAGGCACAAAATGATGTAAAAATAAACTATTAAAAAAAAAGTAAGAAAGAAATATTAACTGATGCTAGGAACACTGTGTCAGTGGGCCCAGTAAGGTGAGGGTGGCAAGGTCACCTCCATTGTGGGGTTGCTCTGATGACTACCACCTCAGTCCTGTGTACGCATGCCCCAGGCAAAGCCAGCTCTGTTCATTTCCTAATTTACAGCCTCTTTCATGCAGAGCCATGGATTTCTTCATCACTACTGAGACCCAGTTCTGACTTTGAATCTCAAATTAAAAGCTGGCTTTTCAGAGGCTACCTTTCATCTGTCAAACAAATGCAGTGACAGGGTCTACTTCCAGATACAATTCTACGGATCAAGTGAATTAAATATACAAGCCAGCCTAGTGTGCTCCCACATTCTCTGCCTCCCCATCCCATCATTTCTTTTGCTGGCACCTCCTGTTCAGCTTTTCACATGGGCTGTTCTCTTTCACTCCAGAACTGCTCCTTATTTTAGGTAGGACTTGCAAAAGGCTTAGTCCCAAAACTATTCCCTCAAATATCTCGTCTGTCTGCCCACTGCCATCCCACAGTCATGGCTTCTAGTAGGCAACTGGTTAAATGGTTACCAGCCTGGGCAGACCTCCGATCAGGGCTCACTAGCGGGGCTTTCTCCTCGCCACTCAGGAAAAGTAATGTCTCCTGCCATAGGGCCTCTCTTCCTCCATACCCCACACTTCTTTGGAGTCAAGCGACCTGTTTTTGGCTTTGAACTTGACGACCACTGTAACTTCCTGCGTCTTTCCATCCTCTACTAACTTCCTGCGGCTTTCCATCAAGGTGGTCTGCAACTTTTCATCTCAGAGTCTGAGATGATGCTGGCTTCCTGTTCCCAGGTAAGCGGGGAATGCCTGGGTTTCTGAGTCAATTCTTCATCTTGCTCATGGGGAGGCTTTGTATGTACCGCATGACGCTGGACAGACGTCACTGCCCACGAGCATCACGGTGGTCCTGGAAGGCAGCTGCATCTCCTTTTACCAACACCCACAGGGCAAATGATTTGTCTTGGGACCTCTGTTGTGTTCTGCACTGATTATGGGCTAATGTTTATTGTTGAGGGTAGGTCCTGAGCTGTCTTCATATTCTCTTCTACTGAGTGAGTTTTCACAGTAACTATACTGTGAGATGTGGCCTGGCTGGGCAGGGAAATGTGGAGGCCTTGGTGGTCCATGTTCATCACAAAAGCAGGGCAGCTTTCCAGCAGCCTGGAGAGGTCATTGTGTTGGGGAGGGGAGGCTGGGTGTCTGCCTGGATGAACCTACTAATATTATCAGATAAACATCACTGGTTAGATCACATTGGGAATGAACACAGAGAACGGGGTCAGGAATGTAAATTTACTATATTTTTTCTGTCCACCTGGGGTTCAGCACAGTTTGAAGAGCTATTGGGTAAGGAAACCATTTTGACTATGCAGTCCATCTGTCTGGCTGGGGTGTGCATGTCCATGCAGGCAAGGCCTTTGTAAAGGTCTTGTCCGACTTGGAGTCAGTCTATCTGGAGGTCGTTTCCCCAGCTGAGTCTATCCATTTGGAGGTCCATCCATCTGTCTGGCTATAGGTCCATCTGTTAGCCTGGAGTCAGTCCATCTGTCTGAGACTAGAGGTCTCAGACTTGTCTGCCAAGCTTTCTTCATCTACTGTCTACCTCAAGGGCTGGGGTCTGCCTGGCCAAGGCACTGTGTGAACAGCTAGGGGTCAGTCTAGTTGGAGATTTGTCTAAATACAGTCTGTGACTTGTTTATTCACCTGTTCAGGTAGGGTTCATGTAGCTTCGGATGTCTACCCAGTTCAGACTCTGTAACTAGCCACTTGGCTTGAGGTCCATCTATCTCACTATCTGACTGGTTCATCCATTGAGGTCTGTCACAAGCATCTGCTAATCTGCCACATACATACACCCAATTGGGAAATGGTCTAGATAGTGGGGGATCTGTCTGGTTTATGCTTATCTGCCTATCTGGCCAATTTCCTGGAGAGCTAACTATCTGCCTCGCTGGGAGCCTGGCTGGCTGGTTGGGGAGTCTGTACAGTCAAGGTCCTGCCTGGCTGGGAGTCCGACTAAAAGGTCGGTCAGTCTGTCTGTGCATTTGGGAGTGGGTCTGTCTAGCTGAGAGTATGTCTCCATTCAGCTGGGTGTTTTTATCTGTCTGGAAATTTTTCCAGCTAGGGGTTCATCTAGCTGGTATCTGTCTGGCTGCCCAGCTGGGGTATGGTGCTCATGTTTGATTATCTTGTGTTGAAGATGGCCTTTCAGGCTGCTGTTTAGCCTATCTTTGTGGACTGTCCCACTGCTGGTCTGGCCATCTACAGCTTATGACTGTCTGTCCAGATTAGGGGCCCGTCTTTGTCCATGTGGGGATCTTACCTGTCAGAAATCAGTCTGTTTAGCTGTCATGCCTGCCTTGGGTCTGAGTGGGGGTTGGGGACATCAGTCTTTATCCAGATCTAAGTGTCTTAGTCAGCAAAACTCAGATACCAAAATGAACTACTCCATTATGTGTGTGGGGGGTGGGAAGGGGAAGTGTGACTGTCCAGCAGTCCTTCTGTCAGGCTGCCCTCCCAGCTTGTGGGGATCGGACCCCTTCCTGATGTTCATTCTTGAATCTGCAAGAGTGCAGTCTCCGCAGTCATCTGGAGCTCTGTCTCCTGGCCTTAAGTCCTGAATGTTGTAATCACTGGGGCAAAATCCCCACATGTCCCACCCTGCAAATCTTTTATTTTGATCCAGGCATGTTGGTCCCATTCCACATGGGACCCATTCCAACAATTCACAGTAGAACATGGCCACCAGTAACCACCAGTCCAGTCCTCACGCGGAGCAACAGGTAGGCAGCACTCATACACGGCTCCATTCAGCAGGGGGATCCCGAGGTCCTTTTGGTTTTCCAATGCGCTTATTGAAGCCTGAGAGAGGAGGGTCACATGGGCCTCACAGAGAAGATGGGGTGTGGGGAGGTAGGCAGGTTGTTCTGGGAGGTAGGCAGGTTGTTCTGGCCCTCCGGACTTACGGCAGTCACAGCACAGGACTCTGCCACACCTCCTAAAACCCCCACTCATGGGCTTCAGTCAAAGCTGTAGGCCCAGAAACAGGCCTCACTTACCGAGCCCGCCGCTGGGCGCTCCATTCGCCACATCCTCATAGGCATTCGGTGCGGTTGAGTTTCCGTCTGTAGGAACTGCAAATAGGAGAGCCCCCAAGAATCAACTCGGGGGACTCCGCCAGGCAACCCTGGACGGTGACGCCAGTGGGAGGGCATTATCCACCAGCAGCGGGGTGTCCACTTGCGCGGTCGAACTGGGGGGGAGGGCACTTCCGGGCGGGTACCCCACGCACCCCTCACCAGAGGCAGGACCCGGCGGCACGCAAGCTCGAGGGCGTGGACGGCTGGCCTCGGGCAAGGGGTACCCTTCCGGCGCTGACCAGGCACGGTCTCAACCCCCCGCAGGCGAGCGCACCCTCCCCACCCCGCCCGGGCGCGCCCCAACTTACTGCAGCTGGGCGGCGCCGCGAGCTCGTAGCCCGCGCGCGCCGGCTCCCGGAGAGCGCGCGGGGTGACCTGGCTGTAGAGCGCCTCCCCACCTGCGCCGCCCGCCCGCGCGGACGCCGGGGCCCCGTGCTTCTTCTGCACGGTCGCGTAGGTGTCGCTCATTGCGAGGGCTGGTAGCCCAGGAACCGAAATGCTCCTGCAGGCGTGGGGAGGAAGTGAGACCGCGGCGCCCGGGGAAGGGCGGGCAGCAGCCGGCTCCGAGCAGACCGCCACTTCCTTCCTTCCCACCCCGGCGGCCATCAGGGAGGCGGGGCGGGCCCGGAGGGCTGGGGGCTATATGCTGGCTTGCGGGTGTTTAGAAATCCTGTGACCCTAGCGCCTGGCAGGTTGATGGGCAGAGGGAAGGTCCAGTCAGGCAGGTGAAAGAGGCAGGGTGTAGCTCTGGAGGGGATGGTCACGTCTTTGTGACAGCTTTATCTACAAAAGATGAGGAAGTGACATCTAAAGACAGGAGGAGGAGGAGGCCTCCAGGACTAGGGGTAAAATGCAAAGGAGGTTGGGTTAACTCTGCAGCTCCTGTCTTAAGGCCTGGTAAGTGGGGGCATCAAAGGCTATGGGCTGAATTAAGGCCTGGGAGAGCAGAAAAGAGGCCAAAACTAGCAGGCAGGGCAGGTCTTGGGTTAGAGAGCAGGGGATCTCTGGGATAAGAGTCCTCCCAAGCCTCCCCAGAGTTCAATTCAAAGTCAGTGAATACTAGGTGAACAACAAGAAAAGGACTGGTGTTTCCAGGGTGCAGCAGGGTAAGAACAATGGGCTGGAGCTCTTACCTGAGGACCCCGTCAAGTGGGCGGGATGTGGCAGGAAGGTTCGGAGAAGACGGAAGGGAGAGGACATCATCATACAGTGGAGTGCGATTCTGGGGAAAGACAAGACATGACGTGGATGGGCATTGGGCTCCGTGGAGTAAGAGGAAGAGTAGACAGTCTGATAAGGGAATAATGGAGGAGGATAAAGGTGGCTATCAGTGAGTCAGGTCTCTGGCTGTGGTGGTGGTTGTTACAGACCTCTGCTCTGGATCGAGGCCTCTGAGGGTGCTGATGGTGGACGAGAGTGGAAACGGGTCTTGATACCTCCTTGAGGTTCTGGTTGTGGGGGGTGGCATTTTGGAGCGCTGAGAGGAACATCTGAGACACTGTGTGGTGCAGGAATCTGTACTGCTCCTGGCAGGGGAAGAGCATTGTCAAGAAGGGGCAAGAGGAGGAGGGTTGGCTTCAGAGCAGGAGGAAATTGAGTCGCCCACCTCGGTCTGCACGAAGGAGGGCCGCTGTTTCCGCATGTTGAGGACCACATCAAAGAGGCTGAAATTAGGTGGGATTGTCTGGCAGAGAGACAGGACACGTGAGCAGCAACTCATGTGCAGGGAACCTGCCCTGTGCACCTGTAGGCCCTCATCATACCTGGGTCAGGAGCAGCTGCCTCACGTAATCCACAGTGCAGAGGACGCCTGTTCGCCCGCAGCCTGCGCTGATAAATGAGCAAAGCCGGCTCTGTCATAATCCCTTCTGAATGGGGCATGTGGGGTTGAGGGTTGAGTCTCAGAACTCCCAGATTATCATTTAAAAGGAAAACCTTAACTGCTTATATATTTGAGCATCAACTATGCAATTGCTCCCCTGCAGGCAGGCTGCATGCAATAAAGGCTAATCATTTCAGTAGATCATTTCAGTGTGAGCCCAAGTGTGGCCCTGGGTTCCTTGAGACAGACAGCCAAGCTGCAAGGCTGGCTCTAAATCCCCACAGTCCTTCCTGTCTCTCTCCCTTAGGTATTCCTCCCCCACCACCCTTCACCACCACCCCACCCCCGCCCCCATCCTCACCAGACCCAGGTAAACCCATCTCCTAAACCTGCAGTGGACACAGAGGGGTGAGCAAGGGCCAGATCCTTGGAGGCGATGTGCTTCCTCCACCATGGTAAGCACATGCTCAGGATGGCTGGGGACCCCTCTGTCTGGCCAGGACATATACTGCAGCTGATACACAGATCGAGATTCCTGAAACACAGAAGAGGGGACACTGAATATAAAAAGAAAGGACAACATTTATTGAGTACCTATACATGTCAGACTCAGTTATAACTTATTTTCCATTTACTTCCAACAGATAATAACTGAAGAGGAATACCCAGTTTACTGGTCAGAAAAGAGACAGAAAACAGCTGTTTCCATGCAGGAGCCTCCTCTTCCCCTTTTAGTACCTTCTGGAAGGTGACCTGGAGAGTCCTGAGAATGATGTCGGCATTCACCCACTTCTCCCTTTTCTAAAGTTGTAGGGCAAGTAGAAGAAAAGGGAGAAGATCACAACATCAAAAGACATATTTATAGAAAATAAAGCACTTTTGCTTAAAAATAAAAAAAAATTAAAAATTCATTTAGCCCAGTCATTCCTCATGATTTCATCCAGTATACATTTGACAAAGGGGAGAAAGAGATTATATTAACCCTATTCTAACTATTAAGAAACATTCTTGACTATTCTTTTTTTTTTTTGTCTTTATTTACACTTCTTTTTTAAAAAATTATTTCTGCATATAAGAATTGAGGGACAGGCCAAAGGTGCAGGAGGGTGAGAGGATTTACCAGAGACAGAGTAGGGAAAAGAACAGGCAGACTGACTGAAGTACACTGCTGAGTGGAGCAGCGGGCGGGTCAGGAGAGGTCTGCTGTGCCATGTGGTCACCTCCCTGTGCTGCAGTGGCTGCGACAGCTTCACAATGTCGCACTTTTAACTTGTTGTGCCACCAGGGAGGGCCCATTCTTGACTATTCTTAGGCCCAAACAAGCTCTTTAACAGTGAATCAATGATTTATTTTGTTCTAAAACAGAATAGTTTTGTTGTCTTTACTGTATGTATGACGAGGTGAGAAGTTTTCCTGGGTTCATTTGAAATGGTAAGAGAATAACTAGAAGAGCCTCATCAGGCTTAGTTATATTATGGTAAGAGAATAACTAGAAGAGCCTCATCAGGCTTAGTTATATTAGAGGTAACCTCAGTGATAGTTAAAAATCCCTGTGCATAAAAAGCCGTGCATATACTGAGTTCGAACTGTTCGCTTGCTGATATCAGCATTCCCTGCACTATAAGGGAGTTGCCAGGAAACTGTTCTTCCTTAGAGCCCTAGCCCCAAAACTTTCCACTCTGAGAATCTTCCATGAAACCTCCCACAACATCCAAGACTCCATAAAATGCTGTTCCCACCTCTGCCCCAGCTCACCAGGGTGATGCAGAAGAGCCCAATCTGCAGTGGTTCTTGTTCTTGGGCCCAGTAACGCTCACACTTCTTCTGCAAGAGACAAGAGACAAAGGGCAGGAGTGAAGGGAGTCTGCTTTTTGAGAGTTTCAGCTCAATCCACACACATCTCACCGAACAGCCGAGGTGCTGATGCAGGAAACATGCGCACCTGCGAGTATGATGGAAGCTAGCTGCGGGGCCTTGGCAGATGATGCACAAACTGACAGTGTAGGAAATCAGGCTAGAATAGTCTCCCACTGTAAGCAACTAAAAAGTTACCCAAGATATATGAGCTACTATTTTCATACACTGGACCACATGCATTGCAGGACTGAGATCACTAAACAAAAGGAAATACATCAAACCCTGGTCCCCAGCTTATTGCCTAGAGCCTCACCAGGATGCAAGACAGAGTTCAATGACCCCATTGAGTGAAGACCCAGAGATCATGGCTCAGAGAGGCCAAAGCAGCTGAATCTGAAGGGCAGAGCCTAGAAAGAACAAATTATGCAAAGAAAGCAAAAACTCCAAGAGTCCACATGGGCATCACTTAATATTGTTAAATTCTCAATGAGCACATGTAATGTAAGGCTAGGCAAAAGTAACGTCCTCGTGAAAGATTAGTAACTAAGGAGTGTTAGAAACATTTCTTAGAATTCACAATAGGCCAGAAATAATCCACATTTCCTCCATCCCGTGGAGGAGTGGCAAGACCTGATTGATTTTTAAGGGCAATTCACTAGAAGAATCACACATTGGAAATAAAGCGAAATTACTTCTAGACTTAAAGTCTTCAGTAGAACTGCCCTATGAAATTTTTTTTTAGATTTATTTATGCATACAGAACTGGGGTACAAGCCAGAGGTGCAGGGGAGGTGAGAGGATTCACCAGAGACAGAGCAGAGAGCAGGACAGGCAGATTCACCAAGTACATTGCTAAGGGGAGGCGTGGGCAGGTCAGGAAAGGTCTACTGCGCCACATGGATCACCCCTGGGAGCCATGTGGACCACCTCCAGGCAGAGGACCAACTCACACTGAAGCAGTCAGTCTCAGCTTGCTGCACTTTAACCCATTGCGCCACTGGGGAGGACCCCCTATGAAATTTTATAAATAAAATTTTAAATGATCAAATGTCCAAAAGCAACTGTCATGCAGAAAATTTTAAATTCTTATCTGCATTTAAGATACAAAGCATGTAGAAATCATAAAAACTTACTAGATGTAAAAAAAAAAAGCAAGAAAATATGACCAGGAGAAAAATCAACACAAAATAATCTGATCAAGATGAGGAAAGAAGACTAAGATCTTAAAATGGCTTTTATAAATATACTCAATGATGAAAAAGAAAGCATGAACATGATGAAAAGTAAAAGATACAAATAAGACCAAACTGGAACTTCTAGAGAAGAAAAAGAAAATATATTAAATGAAAAATTCACAATCTACTAACAGAAGGTCAATGAATACAAACACATAGCAGTAGAAATTATTCAAAATGAAAAAGAGCAAATGACTAGGTAAAAGATGAACAGAGAATCAACGATCTCTGAAAATACAATCACTAGCCTAATGTGCATAAACCTGTACTCAAAGGGGAGGAACAATAGGGAAAAATAGAAACATTATTTGAAGAAAGAGTAGCTGGAAAAATTTCCAAATTTAATGGATTTATGAACCACGGTAAGAAGAAATTGAGTCATGCCAAGGCATACCATAAACAAATTGCTGGAAAGCAATAATTAAGAGATAATTTTCAGAGCATCATGCAGGAAAAGCCACAGGTATATGCTAAGAAACAAATATAATGATAGAATTTTGCATGAAACTGCAAAGCCAGTGGTGTGAAATCTTAAAAATTTTGAAAATTTAAATAAACAGCATAAATTTTTATTTATTTATACATACAGAACTGGGGTGTAGGTCAGAGGTGTAGGAGGTGAGAGGAGTCACCAAAGACAGAGTGAAGAGCAGAACAGGCAGACTGATTGAGATACACTGCTGAAGGGAAGCAGCAGGTAAGACAGGAGAGATGAGCTATGTGGGTTAACTTCTTGGCAGGGGATCAAACTTGTGCTTCAGTGGCTGCAGCTAGCTCTGTAGTGCTGCGCTTTAACCCATTGCTGTGCTTTAACCCTTAAATAAACAGCTTTAAGCAAAAGCTCAGAAAATGTATCACAAGCAAACCTATGCTGTGAAAAATATCAAAATAAACTCTTCCTACGAAAGGAACATGACACTAGATGGAATACAGATTTACATAAAAAGAAGTGAGAGTAAAGGAAAAGTACATGAGTGGCTAAATGTAAAAGATACATTTCCTTTTGAACATCTTGAAAAGATAAGCTAGTGAATTTTACCAACATAGGATGAATACCAACCCTTCACAAACTTTTCTCAAGAAACTGAAGACAGAACATTCCCAGCATATTGTATGAGGTCAGAACAATATAGACACAAAATCCTCAACAAAATAATGATGATAGATTATATACATCATGACCAAGTGGCATTAACTCCAAAATGCAAGGTTGATTCAATATGTGACCCAATCAATGCCATCAACCATATTAATAAAAATAAAACAAAAACATTTAATCATCTGAATAGATGATCCAACTTTTTTTGGATAAAAGTCAACACCATTTCATTATAAAAACACAAAAGAAACTAAAAATGGAAAGGAAATTCCCCACAGAAAACCTCACATGAAAAAATAAAAACTGTCAGCTAATCTCATACTTAATGGTGAAAGACTTAATGCTTTGCCCTAAAAGCAGGAACAAAACAAGAATATTTCTATTTGCCCCTTCTGTTCAACTTTGGATTGGACATTCTAGTCAGTGAAATTAGGAAAAAAGAAATGAAGGAAAGAAGAAAGAAGGGAGAAAGAGAAGAGGACAGAGGGAGGCAAAAAGGGAAGAAAAGAGAGAAGAAAACAAATTCAATTCGCAGATGACATGATATATAGAAAACCCTAAAGAATACACAAAAAAAAATGCACAAATACAGAATTAGAGCTAGTAAACAGTTCAGCAAAGTTGCAGGACATAAGGTCGATGCAGAAAAAACAACTGTATTTCTCTATAGTGAAAACTATCCCGCTTACAATAAGTAAACTAAAAATGAAATAAAGAAAACTACTCCCTTTACAATAGCATCAGAAAATATGAACTACTCAGGAATAAATTTAACGAAAGTACAAGACAAGAAAACATTGCTGAAAGAAACCAAAGACCCAGATAAATGCAAAGATATCAATGTTCATGGAACAAAAGACAATATTGGTGGACAGACCCCCCCCAAAGTGACAGATACAATACAATCTGTATCAAATCCCAGGCTTTGGGAAATTATTGGCACGCTGATCTTAACAGTGACATGGAAATACAAGTGTGACCTGGACTGACAAGACCACCCTCAGGTTTGGTGATTTGCTTGTAAGACACAGAAGTTGCAGGGTTGTAATCACAGTGAAATGATACTAACGTGAACAAAAGGAAAGGGTGCATAGAACAAAGTCTGGAGGAAACAAGATGCCAGAATCCAAAGGTCTTCTCCCTGTGGTGTTGCACAGGATGTGCTTAATATCTCCACCAGTGAGTTATGGTGACACATGTGGAATGTCCACGGGGAAGCTCACGGGGGACTCATACCCAGGATTTTTATTGGGGCACTTTTGTGGTATGTCAGCACCCTCTGGACCAAAACTTTAGACTTCCAGAAGGAGAGCACATATTCATGCTGAAGTCATATTGTTTGCATAGATGGTTGAGGAATTGTGAGTCATTCTTACTAGAAATCCAAGTTCCAGCCGTTCAAAGCAGAAGCCATTGTGTTAATTCTTTTCTATACAGTAAGTGATCCAAAATAGCCAAAAAATCTTGAAAAAAAAAACAACTTTGAAGACGACTCACTTCCCAATTTCAAAGATGATTACAAAGCTACAAGAACTAAAACCATATAATACTAGCATGAAAAATGAGATATATCAATCAATGGAAACGAACTGAGAACACAGAAATAAAGCTCTTACAAATGTAATGGTCAATTAATTTCCCACAGTATACTAAATCACAATCTTTTCAAGAAATGGTTCTGGGGTAAAGGGATACCCACATACAAAAGGGTGAATATAGACCCCTAACATAGATTACATAAAAAGCTTACTAAAAATGGATCAGGCCAAAATGTAAGCAAGAAAACAATAAAATGTTTAGAAGAAAAGATAGGAGTAAATCTTTATGACTTTTAACCAAAAGTGACTTTTTATATACATCAAAGCACAAGCAAAACAGATAACTAGAATTCACAAAATTAAAACATGTGCTTCAAATAACATTATCAAGAAATTTAAAAGGTAATCTACAAAATGGGAAAAGTACTGGTCAATTATATACAGAGGAGGGACTTTTTTCCAGAACTCTTACAACTCAATTATAAAAATATAATGCAATTGTAAAAAATGGGCAAAGGATGTGAATAGACATTTGTCCAAAGATAAGCACATGAAAAGATGTTCACTTCATTAGGCAAATGCAAACCAAAACCACAAGGAGATACCACTTCTCATCCATTAGGCTGCCTAATAAAAACCCAGAGAAAAACAAGTATTGGGGGGTACGGAGAAAGTGGAACCTTTGTGCAACACTGGTGAAACTGTACAGTGGTGCAGTCTCTGTGGAAAACAAAACAAACACCTAAACTTAGAATTACCACATGAACCAGCAACTGTTCTTCTAGGTCTATAACCGAAAGAATTGAAAACAAGGGCTCAAATACAGAGGAGTGATCTTTACATTTCGATATTCATAGCACCTTTATTCACAACAGCCAAAGGGTAGAAAAAACCCAAATAGCTACCAAAAGATAAAAGGAAAAACAAAATGCTGCCTATACATGTGAAATATAATGAATTATCTTGAAATATTATTCAATGAAACATTATTTGGCCTTCAAAAGAATGAAATTCTGATGCATGCATGTATGACCCTTATAAACATTGTAAGTGAAGTGAGCCAGACACAACTACTGTACGACCCCACTTATATGAGGTACTTAGAATAGACAAAGTAGTAGAGACCAAAAGCAGAATGAAAACAACTAGAAGCTGGGCAAGGAGGAATCAGGAGAAATTGTTATAGAGAGTTTCTGTTTGGGATGATGAACAAGTTCTGGAAATGGTGATGGCTGTACAACATCGTCGGTGTGCCTAATACTTCAGCTACATTTGAAATGGTTGAAATAGCAGTTTTTATGTTAGGTATATCTTACTGAACTCGAAAAAAAGAACACAATGAAACACCACTTGTTTGTTTTATAGCCAACCTGCTGTGTTTAGACAACCTACTGTACCAGCTATGGTAAAAAGCAGACAAGTATGGCTGAAGATGTGAAGAAACTGGGACCCTTATACATTTCTGGTTAGAACCTCAAATGATGTAGCCATTGTGGAAAACAGTGGGCAATTTCTCACAATGTTAAAAATAAAGTTATTATATGACCTAGCAATACTACTTCGAGATATATACCCAAGAGATATGGAAACATACAGAATTCTTGTACATGACTGTTCATAGTAGCATCCTTCAAAGTAGCCAAAAACTGAACATAGGTTAGGTCCTATAAACTGATTAAGGACAAATCAAAAAAATGAACAAATTAAATAGAATATTATTCATCAGTAAAAAGGAGTGAAATGCTGATATTGATATATGCTACAATATGTATAAACTTAGTAAAAAAATTCCTCCATGTGAAAGAAGACAGTCAAGAAAGACAATATGTAATTCCTTCTATATTAAAAGTTCAAAGCAGGCAAATCTAGAATTTCAAAATAGTGTACAGGTTGCAGAGGGCAGAAGTTGACAGGAAGCCGGAAATGAGTGTTAATAGAAGAGGGTTTCTTTATGGGGTGATAAAAATATTATAAAATTTATTGTGGTGATGGTTGTATAACTTAGGACTACTAAAAACCAAATTGCACACTTCAGCAGATGAATGGCATCTCAGTAAAACTTTTTTTTTTCTTATGTGATAATCTAAAGCAAAAGCAGTAGTGTACTGTGGTATCTATTTCATATTTAGAAATAAAGCACATGGTATAACAACATAAGTAATGGAAAGAGAAAATTGAAAATGATTGTAAAGTTCTTCATCATTTTACATGAAATTGCATAAAATTATTTGAATACAGCATGTGATTAGTTAATATATTGTGGACTCCCGAAAGCCACCATTAAAGCACACAATACAAAGTGGTATATACCTAATAATATCTATGAAATGGAACTCATAATTTCTCAATGTGAAAGAAGAGAGAATAAAAAAAAGAAGGGGAAAAACTGATGGAACAAATAGAAAATAACTAGCAAGACAATGGATTTAGAGCCAACATCATTAAGACCACATTAAAGGTCAAATGTTCTAATTAAAGGTAGGAATTGTCAGACTAGGAAAAAGAGTAAGTCCCTATGATATGCCAGCTATAGAAGCTCACTTTAAAAATAAAGGTGAATTTAATATGGATAAAAAGCAAAGTAATGAAAGAGACATGCACACTCTTAAAAAAATTGAAGTGGCTATACTAATAAAAGTACACTGCAGAAAAAATGATTATTACCAGAGATAAAAAGGAACATTACATGTTGGAGAAGGGATTGGATCATCAAGAATACACAATCCGGGCGCTCCCTGATGGCGCAGTGGGTTAAAGCACAGCATTAAGAAGCTAAAACCACTTCAGCATGATTTTGATCCCTGCCCCGGAGTTGATCCACATGGCGCAGCAGACAGACCTCTGCTGACCTGCCTGCTGCTCCCTTCAGCAGTGTACTTCATCAGTCAGCCTTTCTGCTCCCCACTCTGTCTCTTGTGAATCCTCTCACAGCCCCTGCACCTCTGGCCTGTACCACTGTTCTGTATGCATAAATAAATAAATCTTTAAAAT